GACGAGGACGGGTTAGAAAAGTTGGTGGTAAATTGGCGAGGCGTACCTTTTCGGATATCCGGCCTGTGTGTCGTGTTCGTGCGGGACCTAGGTTGTGCGGTAGAAAATCCACCGGAGGGTGTCGTGGGTGTCGCACCCGGTGTGCTGGGGTTGCTTCCACCGGGAGTGTGAGCTCCGTGACCCGTCAAATCGAGCCTTGCCAAACCCCCGGTCACCTCGTCCCGGAAGTCGCCCTGTGCCCATACTGCAAAACGCATCACACCCTCTTGCAACATCGTCTAAGCTCTCCGTAAGCTCTGCTATTTACTAACTTATTTCGTTTACTAATCCGGGATCCCGCGGGGCCGTTTCCGCCCTTCTTCCTCTTCTAGCGGGGCAAAAAAAAGAAAAAAAGAAAACTAGGTCTCCTCTTCGTGGGGAGTGAGGAGGAGCCAGGGTCAAGGCTTCGATCCGATATTTCTCGAAAATACTCTTTCGTTTCGAATAAGATAAAATAATATTTTCTACTTTTCTTCCTTCCCCATTCTTTGTAAATTTATAAATTTATAAATTTTTAGTAGATAATTAACTTTTCGATATTAACGATTTTTCTTCGTATCTTTTCATATCCTTTTCTCAAGTAAAGTAAGTATAAGTAAATTCAATTAATTTTGATACAATGTAAGGTGAAACGTATGAAGATTCTTTCAAAAAAGAATTGAATTTATCGTACGAAGCGCAGTAACAATTCATCCCAATTTTTCCACTCGAGAATAAACTCGTAATCGTAACTCGTCACGCGAGAAAAATCGCGCGTATAAATGAATCATTTCACACTCGACTTCTTCTACTTCCACCGTCGCATAATTAACAGCGACGTTCTTTGCGTCTTCTCTCGTTTTTATTTATCCACATGGATGCATGGCGCGATGAAGGATGGAGGGAACGAAGGAACGAGACGAAGGAACGGAAGGAGCGAAAGTTGAGAAGTAAACAGAGAGGGAGAGAGGAGAGAGAGGAAAGGGGAAGAAAAAGTTTGAGCTCGAAAGTCGAAGGAGGTGGCGGTCGAGAATAGGGCGAGAGATGTCGGTAGCGAGAAGTTAATCGGGCAGGCCGTTTAGTTTCGCTCCGTTTAGTTATATTTGGTTTCCACGGGGGCGGCAAAGGAGAAGGGGGGGAGGGGAGGCGGTTCACAATTAGTCGGCGCGTAACTCGGCGGTGATTTAGTGGCACGCAGCAACGAAGATGCGCGTGTCACTCTTCCAGGATATTGCCAACTGTGCGTTACGAGCTGACGGTCCGTTCTCCCAGTCTTTTATGGGACTTCTTAGTTCGAATGGTGGATGGACTGGTGGATGGATATTATTCGGGGTTGAAATGTAAAAGGAGGGAGTATCGATGATTCAAATGGTCGAAACATTTGATAATTTAGTAATACCAGTATCGTGAAATAGTAATTTTTCAAAGAAATTTTCAATGGAGGATGG